GTGAGAACAAGTAACACGTAAATATATATGTTTTTGGTATCAATAGTTTCAGGATTAAACGTAGAATTGTTTGGTAAAATAAAAAATATACATAAAAAAAATAATATTTTGACGTCTGTGTCCCCAAAGATTCTTAACAGCTGGTTCAACTAAAGAATTTAATTCTGTGATGTTCAATAGCATTAAAAAGTTAATAGGTTTACCAACAGGGTGCAGAACTATTATTTTTTTCAATTTATGACAACAGCTAATTTGCAACCAAAAGGTGAGTGAGCGTAACGAACGAACTTCAACCTGGAGGTGAGTTAGCGTAGCGAACGAGCTAACCTGAAGGCAAGTGAGCGCAGCGAACGAGCTCCGACCTAAAGGTGAGTGAGCGTAGCGAACGAACTTCGACCAAGACGTGATTTTGCCATGCGAACGTGCTCATCTTGAAAATGAACGAGCATTTGACATAAAACCATATTAGGACAGGACGACATCTGTCGGGCCAGCTAGTACGAAATAAATCACGACGATCGAGCACTTTTAGGACTACATTATTGTATATTCGTTAAATAATTACTGTACATTATTTGTTGGAATAATGTATTTCAATTGAGCTCTTTGGTGAAAAAAAGGATTGGAGTAGTTTTTTTTAGAAATTGGGAAACTCTTTGCCTAATGCCCTAGACCTAGAAGTAGCCTAGACATTATATTCCCGAGAAACAGACATAATAGAGACAACTATATTTTAAAGTTATATCGTGTTTAAAAAGAAATAAATAAAAACTTTTCAACTAAGACATGAAAAGAGCTTGCGGATGTTACACCCGTGTTTTTCTTATATCCAATCTCTCAATATTGCCAAACTGAAGGAAACTTTGTAAAAATGTACCATCTCTCAAATCCCCAATACTTATTACAGCACAAACAGCCATTCAAGACAATATAAATTATATAGCACATGTCCTTACAATCATAGACTAACCAACACAACGGAGTTTATTTTATCTATGATACAATCTAACTTTAACCTACACGGTTTCCCATAAATAACGATCTAAAGGTTTTCATAGACTAGACAACAGCTACATTTATGTTCTATCAGATGATCATTATACTGTATCAGCTTCCCAAAATACTCTCCACTCGCCATCCTTTCACAGTGTTATATTGACGAAGCCATCAACAATGTGGGTAGATTGGTGTCTGAAGCCCTTCTAATCTAACTTGTTCTCTTTAATTACAGGTCTACTGACTGCAGCGCCTTTCAGCCATGGACAAGCGGTTGTTGGGTTAACAGTATTTATCTTAGATTGTCAAACTATCTTGGTATCTTATGGTTGAATATGGCCTGTGTGAGGGTGTAGGCTTAATAATTCGTGAGAGCATGTAAAAAAGAATAATTTTAATTATTTTTTTTAGAATAGTTTTTTAGTTTGAATAAAATAACTAAAACTAGTGTTTCCACCATTTAATTTGTTATAAAAAATTGAAAGTATTAGCGAATTTCCCATATAGGGAATAAGCTATTACCGTAGTACTCATGGTAAGACCTGGACGCGGGACCGATTTTTTTTTTCGTTTTGAGGTCCCTAGAGGCCAAAAACACCATCCGTTCAAATTCATATATATATATATATATATATTTATATATATATATATATATGTGTGTCCGTCAGCACGATAACTCGAGCAAAAATGATCCGATTTTGATGAAATTTGGTACAAACGTGTAAACCTACGTTTATTCGAACGAGTTCGCGATCCAGCATGATCGGACCATGGGAACGGGTGTTTACGGGGGGTTTTATGGGGTAAAAATAGGTTTTTCCCATTTTTGACCCAAAAAACATAAAATTTAGCAATTTATTTCCAAACCATTTTGTAGAGCTTAAAAAAACAAATAATTTAGTATATTGAAGCGTTATTATGCGCCTAATGGTTACGGAGAAAATTCCAAAAAATTGTAAATTTAAAATTCCCATGTTATTCTTATGGAGAAAGAGTAAACTGTTGTAGTTTGCTTGTTTATGAACATATTTTGATCAAATTTGGAAAATGTTTTTATTTCTTACCAACTATTAACATTTTACAAAAAAAAACAGTTTTACCCTCCCTGATGCAGCAAACCTAAGTACTTGTTAAACTAATTCTATTTAAATCGGGAATAAATGCTATATTTTTAAGTAGACATTTCAGTGTAAATCCAATCAGTCAAATGGAAATTCGCTTAGTCTGCAGGTTTGCTGCGGCGGGGGTATTAGTTTTTTATTAATATCGCAAATAATGTTTTAAAGCGAGTAACTTGGCTGTATGTTGTGCTGTAAAAAAATATAGGTATCGGTAAAATATAGAAAAACTAGATGGATTGTAATGGAACTCAACGTGAGTTTTATCGGTTTTATTTACTGATATAAATGTGAGTATATAATTTATTACTATATCAGCAGGTAAAACAACTTAACCGTTAAAAAATTACCCTTGACCGCTCAATTAAAGTGGGTTTAGTAAGCAAAACAATAATCGGTATCAGAAGCATTAGTTATAGGCCTAATATATAAAATATTTATCCAATTGTAAGATTTAACAATTCTGATGATTTTTTAAAGACTAATTCGTGACTGTCAGTGGAGGTTTTCCAACTCTATAAAGAATATGTTTAAAGGATATCTATTTATTGTGATAGCTTTATTTTATTTGACACGAGTCCTCCCTTTCGATTTAGCTTGGTTAAGAAGCTGGAGTAGACAGGAATCAGTAATAAAAATGTGCGCACCCTGTCGGTAGGTTGATTCAACTACGTTCATTTTGTATTAAAAATTGGACATAACTTCAAATTAGAAATGGGATGTCTAAGTCTCTCAGTAACGAGATAAATAGGCTAGCTATTTGTGTAACTAGTTATTAGCGCTCGTTTTAGACATTATGTTTTTCCTACAGTTACTAAAAATTATATGAATAATTAGTCTTTCTAAAACTATACAACACGTTTTTAGGTCAGGTTAAACCCAAACCATGAACGTAATGGGAAATACTGCAACTGATTGTAGTCTTAGTATCTTTAGGTGTTCTTGTTTTCAAGAGTACACGTATTAACAGTTATAATCAGTATAAACAGAATAAACAAGTAATTTTGTAACTTTCTTACTTACGAACCAAGAAGAAAACAGTTCGTATGTTTGTTCAAACTTCGTTCTTGATTTTTTAGGAAACAGATTTAATTAAACAAGTTTTGCAGTTTCTGCTACATATTTCTTCTGGTGTACACAATATATATTCACAATCACTGAGTTAATTATTCTAAAAGATGTTAGGCCCACTTATAATTATTATTCTTTCAAATAGTTATAGATTCTAACTTATGTTATAGGTTGTGTTCAAACCAAGCGTTGAACGAAAATAGAACATAAACTGTAAACACGAAATGACAGGTTAAATCCTAGTTATAATAGTCAATCAGCTGATCAGTATTATTATCTTTAAGTGTTGCCAACCTATTTCCAAGCGTACACGGATTACGTGCATAATAAAACCACGCTATTTGTGTTGTTTGGTTGGAATCCTGATGTGCGCCAAAGTATAAACCGTACGACAAAGTAAGTACATGCAGCAATTAGCAGCTTTCTGTACTATAAACAGTGCAAGGAAGCCAACTTTGTCGGGTGACTGTTGGAAAACTGTATTTTACAACAGCGCAACCTGTCGGGGACACAGTTGATCAAGGTTATTATTTTGATGTTAAATTTAACATTAAAGTTCTACTAGCAGCCTACATCACTTAATGACTTCAAAATCATCTACTAAGTATTGAAGTATTGTAGAAGCATAAATAATGGCTTGTGATCCTAAATACTGCACCGCTTAGTCGATTTGTGAGGTTATGTAAAACAAACGTTGAAAGGTCAGATGCAAAAGGCGGTTCGTGGTCTGTAATCTTATGTATTCAGCAAGGAGATATAATAGACACAAGACACCTCATTTGTAATGTCCGACAAGTCTCCTGTTTTCCCCCCTTTACTCGGCCATAATAAGGCAGGGAACCCCTTATCCGGCCAGAGAGTTGACAAATGTGGAGGCAAGGTCTTCAACCTGGCACGGTTATAAGAACTTGTGGTTCCTTTAAAAACATAATCAGGCAATCGTGTTTCTCTGTTGGTTTTTTTTAGATTTAAAGATGGATAGGTCACGTTTCCTCATGTACCTACCAGTTAAACAATTTTCAGTGAAAACTAAATTCGAATAAAAACTTTTTTGAGATGAATAAAGTCTAATAAATCGATTTGCCTAGTACGTAAACCTTAGGGCACATCTTGCATTAAGTATACTTCGAATGGATGGGTTTGAATTTGCATGGTAATTTGAGTCTGTATTTATATGAAACTGAGAGAGATGTAGGAAAGACGCCAATAGAATATGAAAAATTTTAAAAATCTAATTTTCGAAAAACATTCAAATTATTCTATCATGACTATTAGCTTCTATTAGCAAATTATAATTATTATTTACATTTGGCAAGCATTTGTAACGGTAAATTTAATACCCTCTTTAGCATTTTAAAGCAGAAATAAATCAAAGGTGCATGGCCTACTATGAACTCTAATTCCAAGTGTTTGTAAAATTATAACAATTAATTGTAAAAGCTAGAGACATTTATCGAAACCCACTAAGAAATGAATTACGGCTGACTGGAAGTTTCAAGGGACAATTATTGAATCCAAGGAAAATATGGCACTGTTCTAATATGCCAGCCAATACTATATACATTTTTACTAGTATCTTTGCAGCCAATGCTTGTATACTACGTAGATCAGTTTTTTCAGTTTTTTTAAGCCATTTGAAATTAGGGGTCAATCAATGGGGGTTTCTGTTTAAATAACTAAGGTTCTATCTTAAATGCCCAATTTTAATGACCAAATTATAATTCTACACATGTACACGATAGTCGGCAACTACAGTATTCCAAATAGAAATAGAAAAATATGTAAACAAAATAATTGAGTTGTTCAGTAAAAAAAGGTTAAGAGGAATGCAGTTCCCATGTAAAAATGGGGATGATTTCATAAAAAATGTAAGGTGTCTCCAGACTTTAAAAACTGTGTTAATTAAACCGCACACTAACCAATTTGTACACCACATACAAATTCTTAATTTTACAAAGTTAATTTTCTGAACCAAGACAATGGAAATGTTCTGTTGACAACCGTACTAGAATTTTTGTTGGAGTGTGACCCGCAGTTTCTTTGCCACCATTCTGTCTCGAGACGAATATACGAGCCAGCAGAGATGTCCTTACTTGGTCCAGAACAATCCGCTGGTGTCAGCATTTGGACCAGCTTCCGCATTGATATCTCCTCAAAGTCTCTTTGGTTGTCTTGGTTATCCTTGTTTGATTCAGCATCATTCCACATCATCTCAACTGGTTGATACATGTTTGAACAGGATTTCTTCTTTTTATTTTTATCTTTTTGTACGAAACAGACGCTAGATGATTTCCCATTTTTTACACAAAGAGTAGGTTTTACCTTTTTGTTAATTGGAGTTTTAAGAACGGCAGATGTATCTTCTACCGCTGATTCACATTCAGAAATCTTTGATTGCAATGAAATTATGCCACCAAAAGAAATGTGGGCTCCGAGTGATAAAGGGGAATGTATTTTAGGCTCTTTCCTCTTCTCTTGTCTATTCCTCAAAATATTTAGAACTCTTAAAGGAATCATGGAATAATCTGCCTTTTCTGCCGGAGAAAGGATTATCCCACTCCACCAAAACTTCTCAGATGGCGATTCCGTTTTCAAATCCGACGAGCCATCGGATTTCTTTACTAGCTTTACAAATTTCTTTACATTAGAGTTGTCTTCTCTAGGTGGTATATTAATAGCATTTTTGTGTTCCTGATGTATGTTGAACATCTCAACTTTTTCCAATGTATCGAGCTTTGTAACGTGGCTTTTATACTTACAGCCGCAGTTTTGCTTAACCACGTCAAATCTAAATGCCTTTTCTCCACAGCATCTGTATGTGCCAATTGGATGATGTAGGTTGTTACCCATCGGGAAATACTCCACTTCCCCTGGGTGATACGAGCACCAGTCACTGAGACCCAGTGGGTACCAAGAACAACATATCTCGCAGTAGAAGAAGTGGCACATACCCCACAAGTACCAATATACCATTCTCCAATCTCTCAGCTTGTCAAAGACGATCGTCAAGTAGTCAGTCAGATTCCAAGAGGAAGAACATTCGTGATGAAACTCTAACTTTCCATCAAAAGTCATCTGTGTGCAATCAGCTCTGCATGGTATATCCTTAGCCAAACGGTTGTGCATTATCTTTTCACACAATCCGCACTGGAAGATAGTGGAAAGACTGTAAAAATGGCCGAAACTATGACAAGGCTCGGGTTCGGCTAGCATCTTAATTAGTGTAATGAACAGCATTGTTCTAAGACTCTCGTGCTTTAAATTCTCTACGTCTGTGTTAGAAAACCTCTTGGCAAATTCCAGCAACAATGTTTCATCATGAAACACATTCTCTATATCTTCATCGAGTTCGAGAACTTTATCAATATTTTGGCGAAGAAAATCAAGACACTCCTGGACCAATTTTTCAACGCCAAGATGATTGGCCATCGTCAGAACAGATTTCAAATTTACCAAGTTTAAATTGGGCTTACACATTGGAATTTCAGACGAAATCCATTGCAACAACCATTGAAAAATCCCAAAATTACATCTTACAATAATATCTAAATTGTCTAGCCCAAACTCTTTTTCGACTTCTTCGAAATATTTTATTTTCGATACCAAACTGCTTTTAGCTATTCTTACACTGGACTCCATTGGCTTTAATGTGTCTATGATATTAATCAAAATATTAGGCTCACCAGTGTCAAACGATGGCATAATTTTGCTTTCAATTGGAGCTTTTGGTACAAACTGGATATCCAAAATTATTTGGTTATTGATATCGTCCACACGGAATCCACATACAGGTGTCATGACTTGGGTATAATCTCCAGTATTTTCTTCTGTGATGGTTTGATCTTCGATTTCATTTTGTTTAACAACATCCAAATTACATGACTTACTAACACATTCAACTACTTCTTCATTACCGTTATTTGTGAGGAAAGACTTCGACTCTTTGGTGGCGTTATCTAGTTCACTTTTTATTTGTTGGAGACTAGTCAAACTTTTGATGGACAGAAGGGTTTCATCTATTTCACCATCTATGTTCCTATTTCTGAGACTCGTTGTTGATGTACCGGCATTTACTTTGACGTCTACCTTTCCGCAATGACGTTTGCCTACATCATCTTTTCTAGGGAGTGCTCTCAAATTTTCAACAGAAATGTTGGCCCAGTTAACTTGATCTTTTTCAAAAATTATTCTTGAATCTAGTTGCTCTGTACCATAAGTGGAAGATAACAGTCCCAAAAAAGAGTCTAAAGAAACAGCTGCGTGATTTGAATTGTACAAATTTTCATTCTTTCTAGGACTGAGAGGCATCTCATTTAGTAGAGATTAAATTAATTCTAAAACACTTTGACACAATGCTATTATTATTTGCATTACAAAATAACTAATACATTTAGAGGTTATTGTTTACAAATCGTCTTTCACAGCAACATCTGATGCGTCTTCGCCAGATGATTACATTATTTTCAATACTCATAGGATTTAAAGAGCATTGTTTATTGGTTTACCAGAGTATAAACTATATAATTAATAAAAACACGGGGTTTCTCTGTATTTTATTCACCTGATAACCGTTTTGAACAAACATAATATTTGAAAGGTAAAAGTTTGTTACGTTATTCGTTTTGCCCCAGAAAAAAAGGTTTTGAACCAAGTTTTATAATGCAAATTTTGAGCGTGGGTCCCCTCTTAATTGTATTGTGTGCGCTAAAGAGAACGGAAATTCTAGATAATAGATTACTTTATTTAACTACTGATGTAAAAAAGAGGTTTGTCTAAGTAGCAAAATAATATTTTGCTTCAAAGACAACCCCTCTTTCTTTCACTCAGTAGAAGAAGGTTAATACGAATCGTATGTTTAACTTTATTTCTTATGATCAACACAAGAAAGCTTAAAGTTTGTACATATATTACTTACGTGTGAATTAAAAATAGAATGAAACCATCTGCTTATATAAATAACTGTTTGTCTTCTTATATGTTAACAAAAAAATTAATCACACACTACAAGACACACATTAAAAATACAAAAAATTTTTGATTACATCAGCGTACTTAAAAATAACAGGAGATGAATCGGAATCATACAGTTAATGAACATTGCCATTCATCCATTCATTCATGATCATACACCCCAACCGGTTGTTTATTTTACAATAGGATGATAACTGGCCATAGAGCATTCAAAGTTAATGAAAAACTAAAAATAAAAAATAATTTTTTGTATTAGAACTGACTAAAAATAGGCACTTGGCATTGCAAAACACCTACTGTCATAAATATCACCCCGAATAAGTATTTTTATATTCAATACAAATTGTGCTGCCAATCGAAATCTTTATAACCCTCGTTTTTCTGTACCTTAAATTACACGTAAACTATACATAGCAGAGAGAATGTTGAAGTTTATATTTCCATCACAGCAAAAATGTAAATAGGCCTAGATAAGTTTTTGTATGAAGTAACTAAATTTATATAAGTATGAAGTAATTAAAAAATTGTTGAATGATAACTACTGTTATTGATGAAATGTCACCCTCGCGAGTCAAGATTGTGGAAAATCAGTTATAGGATATCACTATCTAATAAGGGGACACTTAGAACATATTAAACATACAGACTTAAAACAAAATAATCAAGCTACTTTCTTTCTTCTTTATTTCTTATGCTTGCGGGTTGGACTAATTTATATAAACTACAGAATTGTGGGATTAAATAATAGTGGACTTTTCCTGAACCTGAAAGTACGTCTAACATAGTAATAGCATAATTCGTAAAAATGATGGACTAATAGTGTAAAGAAATCGATCGAACAAGAACGGATGCAAACCAATTACTAAATTGACTTGCTTGTAGAGACAATTTGCATAGAAACTACAGAATCACAAGAAACAGTCTGTGAACCTTGGAAGTCGGCTGACTGTAACTTGGCAGCCTGTAAAGATACTCGCGTACGTTTTAGGTTACAATACAGTTGTGCGTTTATTATCTTATAATTTGTAGCTAGGGAAACATCGGGACTGATACATTATTTGTCAAGACAATGTTTGTTCGTTTAACACTAATGAATAACATTTTCTTAACCGTGCCTATTTTTGAACCAACAGCGTTTATGAACACTTAATCATGAATAATTATTTAATTTATACTGGTTCAGACCAAAGTGGAAATGATAATTCAACATACATTCTTTTTGGGTAGTAGCCTACCTATGAATCATTTGCATAGAAAATAAAATGTAAGGGCGAATGTAATTGTAAGCTTTTAAATCTGTAAAACCTAAAAAAGTGCAAGAATGATTTTATTTGCACTGTGTATGAGCAAAATTAACAGATTAGTAGTGTTGAACACAAAATTATGCTCAGAACAAGCAACCATACGTGTTACGTCACCAGTTGCTTCTATCCAGCCAAGTTTTTCTATCTATAAAACATCATTTACCCCTCAATTGAACCGACGGGGGCGCTCTCAGTAAGGGGTGGCGATATGTTTGTCACGACCCAAACTGATTCCGACAAATGAAAAATTCACGTCAATTAATGTGCAGGGTGATACATGTCTCTGTTAATGGATGACACATCTTGTTGGGGCGATTGTTCTTTACCAGAATTCGTTTGATAGTTGTTTTAATGAAGGGAATTTTTGTTACTCACTATAAAAGTATCCATTTCGAATAATTATGCTATGTTCTAAATATTATTTCCAATTAAATTTGGAAGAAAATGAAACAATAAGACAATGTTTGGTGTGTGATTTTAATGTGTGGTAGAAAACTGTCGTACTGTATTTTAAAACACATTTAACGAAAGTCAATAGTTTATGTTTTGATCGTATTCAGTTATACTATCTCATCCATGCATAGTTTTGTATTCTATAATCTTCCCCTTAATAGTATGTGTAGTTTTGTAGCATATACGAAACAGCAATTAATTATTAATCTGAAATTTAAAAAAGAGCGGCTTTGATACAAGTTGAGCTAATATTTTCTGGTACAATAAACACCTACATAACAATAATCCTGGTTTAGTGATCTTCCATTGTATTAAATAAAAACGACGTGTAGGCAGATTTATGTACAGGATCTATATGGATGAATGGAATCACAATTTACAATAAAGAAACCCATTAAATCGACTGAATGGCGTGTTATTTATTTATAGCACATTCATCAATTCATTTACACGCCTATACACACAACAGCTAGGATATATTATATTTATAGATTGGTTCCATTATGTTGGTCGGCCTACAATGCATTGTACAAAATATGTGCGCATAACGTGGAAATAATTTGTTAAATATTTGAAAATTGATCTTGAAAAGCTCTTCACTTATAATGGATGAAAATGAAGGGGTAAACTCAAATAAAACATTAATGAGAAAGAGTAAAAGCAGTCAAAATTTATGTCTTAGTGACCTTTTCATATCGTACCTCCTACGACCATTTAGTTTACTGAATGTATCTGCTAATATTCATAAACATGAAAGATTTAATATTGTGTGCCCCTGATGCAAGTCACGTAAAGTTCAATAACCTCTATAGAGTTTTTGCTTCAAACAATTTTACCTCCATATGCTTTCACTACTAGGGAAACACCAAGAAAAGCATCATTAATTAAACAAATTTATTATTCAAATAAAAAATAAATAATATGGCAGTCATCATTTTTTACTATCAGTACAAAATCGCTGACAACCGCCAGTGTTAAGCAATAGCGCTCAGAGAACTCAACAGACGACTATAATTTGTTTGAAACCTGTTCATCCAACTCAAAATTTTTATTGAATGCGAATATCCTTTTTTTACGACTCCTAATTACAGCCCTAACGTCAGTCCAGGGTTAATATACTTGAATAGACACTTTCATCATATTCAATGAGGAGACCTTACAATCAATGAAACATGTTACAATATCCAATGAAAGTATTCCTACCGGTTTTATGACTTCACATATAAGTGTATTAAAGTTGTTCTATGATGCTCTACAGTGTTCTATTTTGAATGTTTGCGCAATTTACCCCCGGCTGTGCCAGTGTGCCGCAAACCACCAGTAATTGTGGTACAAACACAAACCTCAAGTAACGAACATTGAATCACATGATTGCGATGTTTTCCATACAATCAAGCCAAGATGTGCATTTCTAGCCCACATTTTCCAATTTGTAATGATGAACCAAATCAGTTTGACCCTGAAATTCCACACGATAATAGGCTTTTTCTTTTATCTGTCACATGCATTTCTAAAATAGAGTGTCCAGTGTGTAATCATCCAAACTCAGGTAAATGGTTTTACGGGTCAACACAAAATGAAAAATCAAGAATAAGACTTTTTCTAAAAATGCATTGTTAGCTAGATATCCACCATTTAGTTTTTTGTACCAAAAATGTATGTCTTTAAAACTAATAGGCTTCGTATGAAATTAGATACCGGTGTTGCAATAAAATGATTGTGAAGTAAATCATAAAAAATATGTTTGTTTCAATATAGTGTCCATTTTATTTTTAACATTTTAAATTACTAAATATATGACTAATTTAATGGAAATTAAAAAAAAATGATTTTATCTAGCATTTAAAATTTTCTATCTTGTCTTTAGGGGAAATTTTCTAATGGAATAATACCCCCCCACCGCAGCAAACCTGCAGGCTAAGAGAATTTCCATCTACCTGGCTGGAATTCCACTAAATTATCTCCTTAAAATTGTCAGGTTTATTTTTTATTTAGATAGCATCCATTTTAACAAGTACTTGGGTTTGGTGCTACAGGTAAGACAATAAGGTGTGTTTTATTTAAATATTGCTAGCTTAGTATGAAGTTGACAAATTTTTCAAATGTCATTAAAATAAGTCAATAGACAAGCAAGCTACAACAGTTTATTTATTCTCCATAAACATAACATGGTTATTTTAAATTTGAAATTTTGTGGATTTTTCCGTTGATTGTGAAAGCATACAAGTTATTTATTAATATCATAGGTAATAGTAGTTTACGCAACGATTGCGTTAAGTTAGTCTTTACGACACGAGTAGAAAATTTAAGGCACTCGCCAAGGCTCCAAGGCTTAATTACTAAAAATCTGGTTTTTTATTACTAACAATCACTACTCATAACTTCCTAGAGAGGTTATGTTTTCGTTTATTGTCATTGTCACTGAAAGTGATGCAACGACTTATTGTATAATCAGCTGATTTCATGTAATTACGTGTTTGTAAAACTTTGTTAAATAATACGTTACTTTTCCTACAGTTACCTAACAACGTACATGTTCTCTCACTGATTTGAGAAAGCAAAGTGGCCAATTCGCTCATCAGTGAGACAATGTTAACATTGTCTCACTCTAATTACTTTGTCTCACTCCAGATTTGC